AAAAAAAAAAAAAAACTATTATAGTAGCTACCTCAAGAGCAATTAAAATTCTTAAATTCGATAGACCTATAAGTGTATATTGGTATCACTTAGCATCAGGTTTTTTTGTTGTCCAAATTCATGTGCCAAATAGATCTGGTTAAATTTTTCTCTTGACTGTCACTATCCAAACTCCTTAAAGTTTTGTTTCCCTCAACTCAGAGACAAAATAGTGAAGGAATATTTAAAATTGCCTTTTTTATATTGGCTTCATTTCTGGCTCCATTTGTGTGTGTGTGTGTGTCTTTTTTTCATACAAATGTACTTGCATGCTTATTTAAATTCCTTTTGGAACAAAACAAATAATACACATATTGTGGTATTATAGAAAAATACAACTTTAATAAATTCATCTAGGAGTGAAATTCTGAGACAATGGTAATCCCCACATGATCTGATATCCTTCTGGAGCCAACACTGCAACCACAGGGGTGGACGAGGCAGCTAAGAACTGGTATCCTTCAACTTCCAAGGAACAGAAGAGGAGGATGAGTTGCCCAGAAAAAAGATCAAGAGTCTTCCTTTTCCTGGAACCTATGGAGAAAAAAGGACTTTGATACATTTGACCATAATATAACCTTTTAGCAATATAAGATAAGATACTCAATTACATCATCAAGGAAGGACTTTATTTATAGTATTGTGGAGAATTAGTTCCCCTGAACAATGCTGTAAGTCTTCTAAGACAACTAAAAATAATGAGATTAAAAACATCGGGAGTACAGCAGATGGTATAATGGTTACATTGCTGGACTCCCCACGTAGTCAACTGTGGTTTGAGTCCTGGACCTGGTGACTTAAAACTCATGCCGGTGCATGTGTACCCAAGATCCTGAGAATGGAGGAGAAGGAATTGCGGCGTGGCCCGTGGGTTGATTTCTTACTCGCTCTCTGTCTCTCCAGTGATAGCAAAAATCTCTCTCCAAAAAAAAAAAAAACCTAGTGGCTGGACAGTGGCACTGCAGCGAGACACCAAGGTCCACAAAGCTGACCCACATGGACAGGTTCCAGGTTTATGTCCCGAGACCTCCCAGAGTATGCTGGACACACATGTGCCTGTGACCTTGGGCTGGCTGAGGCTTGGGATAGATTGGAGTGTTCAGACCTCATTGGGGTGCTGTCTCTCTCTCTCTCTGAATCAAAAAGGAAATAAATTATCCAGACAGAAATACAGATATATACATAGAACGAGGAGCCATGTAGTGATACAGCAGTAAAACTGGACACTGTGAGAAGCTGATCTACATGGGAAGGTTCGGGTTCATGTCTGGAAACTCCCTAAGTACACTGGACACACATGTCTGATCTGGGGCTGGGTGAAGCTGGGGATGGATCAGCATCAAGACCCTGCTGGGGGGACCAGCAGTTAGCGTAATGGCTATGTCGCTGGACTCCCACGTCGTTGACCACGGTTCGCATCCTGGACCCAGTGGCTTAAAACTCACGCCAGGTGCATGTGTGTGCGTGCCCAAAATCCCAAGAGGAGAATGGAGGAGAAGGGACTGCAGCGTGGCCATCCCCCCTGGGGGGTGATTTCTCGCTTTCTGTCTGTCTGTCTCTCTGTCTCTCTCGGTCTTCCTGGTGAGTGCATGTGCCCTATAGCAAAAAAAACCTCTCCAAAAAAAGAAAACAAACAAAAAAAAGACCCTGCTGGGGAGGCCCAGCAGTGGCGTGGTGGTTAAAGGCGCTGGACTCCCACATGGCCAACCACGGTTCAAATCCTGGACCTGGCGGCTTGCTTTCTCACTTTCCCCTGTCTTTCTCACTCTCTGGTTCAAATTTTAAAAAATAAATAAAGTTAAATAAAATAATTATTTAAGAAAAAAAAAAAAGACCCTGCTGGGTATCTCTTTCTTACTCATGGAAGAAATAAGCTGCAAAAATAAAATAATTTAAGATGGTAAATAAAGATATATGTATCTCAGAAATCATAACCTTGAAGTATGCAAAGGTTTCCTAGGGCTCAAAAAGCACTAGCCCTAAAAGAAAAAAGATGAATAAACTGGACCTCATAAAGACCTGCTCATAGAGGGACCAGCAGCTGACATAATGGCTATGTCACTGGACTCCCGTGTAGTCGACTGTGGTTCAAGTCCCGGACCTGGTGGCTTATAACTCACGCCAGGTGCGTGTGCGTGCGTGCGTGCCCAAGATCCCGAGAGGAGAATGGAGAAGGGATTGCGGTGTGACCATCCCCCCTGGGGGGTGATTTCTCACTTTCTGTCTCTCTCTGTCTGTCTGGCGAGTGCACGCGCCCTATAGCGAAAACCTCTCCAAAAAAAAAAAACAAAAAAAAACCACCAGCTCCAAGAAAAAATAGGCAAGTCACAAACTGGGAAAATAGTTTCAAAATACATCTCTGACTATAAGTATTTTTAATTCACTGATGAGATAGCAAGAAAGTAAAAGCAATCTTCACACTGGTTAAAAATGATCTGAAACTGGCTGGCTCCTTGGCCAAGTGGATAAGACAGCCTGATCCCACATGGCCAAATGCACAGTTCAAGTCCTGGACCTGGTGGCCTGAGACACATACCAAGCACATGTTCACGTGTGCCCCAGATTCTGAAAGGAGAGATGGAGAAGGGACTGTGGGTGACCATTTCCCCTGGAGAGTGCTCGCTCCTGTCTGTCTGTCTCCCTCTAGCAAGTACACATGCTCTCTAGTACCCTCCCTCAAAAAATCTCAAATGAGAAATTCTGACAGGTAAGTTGAAACTAAACTTATTACCTAGGTGTTCTGTTATGACACCTTACAGTAGCTGTGAAACCGGAGGCAAAACCTACAATTTCTGGGGCTAGCCAGTGATGTGGTAGTTAAGGCACTAGATCCCACAAGGTCAAATGTGGGGTTTGAGTCCTGGACCCAAAAGCTTGAAAAATATGCCGGGGCATATTTTTATAAAAATGGATATAAATATATTGGTGAGTGTCCAAAATCCCAAAAGAAGTGGAGAAGGGGGAACCAGCAGTTAGCGCAATGGCTATGTTGCTGGACTCCCATGTAGTCGACTGCGGTTCGCATCCTGGACCCGGTGGCTTAAAACTCACACCGGGTGCATGTGCATGCGTGCCCAAGATCACGAGAGGAGAATGAAGAAGAAGGAATTGCGACGTGACCATCCCCCCTGGGGGGTGATTTCTCACTTTCTGTCTCTATGTCTCTCTCTCTCTGTCTGGCAAGCACACGCGCCCTATAGCGAAAAAACCTCTCAAAAAAAAAAAAAAAAAGAAGTGGAGAAGGGACTGCAGCATAACCATCCCCCATGAGAGGGTGCTTTCTCGCTCTCCCCAACCAGTGAGCACACATGCCTTCTAGCAAATTAAACAAACAAAAAAGTCCCATATCTGATAGGAAATGCCCTGACTAGATTTTGGCCCCCAAGGGGCCACCCTTATGTGTAAAAGTGAACAAGAAAAAAAGAAAAAACCTGGACTGGTTTCATGGCCTGGTGGTTGTGGGAGCCTGAGCCCACATGGCTGGCTGAGTAGTTCTGAGTCCCAACCCCATCATGCCCAGTACATCTGTGTATATCCAAAACTTTGAAGATGAATAAAGGAGAAAGGATTGAGGTGTGGCCAAGCCCCCACTGAGGAGTACTTTCTCCCTGTCTGTCTCTAGTGAGCACATTTGCCAGCTGGCAAGTAAAAAAAAAAAAAAACCTTTACAAGGAGAATAAGGGGAATTTGAGTGTCTCAGCAGGTAGAGGGAGAGGAATCCCCCTAGAGAATTTCTAACCATAAACTGGCCCTTACATGGATTTGCAGGTGCAATTCACACTACCTGTCTGCTCCAAAAAAACCCCCTGAACCCAAGAATACTATTTAAAGTAATTCCAGCTTGGTAGTGCCTCAAAGCACCTGAAAAAGAAACACAAATGCAGGGCCAGCAGGTGGTACAGTGGTTATGGCTCTGGGCTTCTGCGGCTTCTTGAGTCCTGGACCTGGTGGCCTAAAAATCATGCCCCCAATCCCAGGAGGAGACACTCACAGATCTTGAGCTTACATTTTAAAAATCACAAAACAGGCTGGTAGGTGGCATGGTGCTGGACTTCCACATGGCCAACCACGGTTCAAGTCCTGGACCTGGAGGTTTGCTTTCTCTCTCTCTCTCTCTCTCTCTCTCTGTGGTCAAATTAAAAGAAATAATAATAGGCGGGACCAGCAGTTAGTGTAATGGCTATGTCGCTGGATTCGCATGTAGTCGACCGCGGTTTGAGTCCCGGACCCAGTGGCTTAAACTCATGCCGGGCGCGTGTGCGTGCGTGCCCAAGATCCCGAGAGGAGAATGGAGGAGAAGGGACTGTGGCGTGGCCATCCCCCCTGGGGGGTGATTTCTCACTTTCTATCTCTCTGTCTGTCTCTGTCTGGCGAGCGCACATGCCCTATAGTGAAAACGTCTCAAAAAAAAAAAAACAAAAAAAAAACCAGAAATAATAATAGGAGACCAGTAGGTGGTGTGGTGGTTAGGGTGCTAGGAACTCCCATATGGCTGAACATGGTTCAAGTCCTGGACCTGGTGGCTTGCTTTCTCACTTTTCTTCTCTCTTTCTCTGTGTGTGTGTCACTCTCTCTGGTCACAGTTAAAATGAATGAATGAATGAATAAATAATTCTTAATCATTTTTTTAAATCACAAAACGGCAAAAATAGCCACGAAAGAGGAAGTAACAGCATCAGACCCACAAAAACCATGGGTGTCAGAATTATCAGACACAACATAAATAACCATGTTTAAAGTACATTGAAAGAACAAAACTTAAAGTAGGATTAAGAAACTGAGTATTATTAAAAATGGTCAGCATTTGAAATGTAGGTAGAACTTAAAAATAATAATTTAAATAAACTGAAGACAAAATTAGTGAACTAGAAGAGTGACTGAAGAAATAACCCAGAGGCATTGTAAAGATAATAGAGATGAAAAAGAAGACAGGTTGAGAGAAATGAAGGATAGAAGAGAAGGTTAAATAACTAACTCAATAACAAAAAGTGAGAATTGAGAACAAGGTGTAAGTGTGATAAGGGTTGGTATAATCCAAGGTTAATGAGAAAAAACAATCAATACTTAGGTTCAAAAAATCCAGTAAATCCCAATCGGGATAAATAACTGAAAACTTCATCTTGACATATTGACGACTGCAACATAACCTGCTGACCACGGAGCAATACCTGTATTCTGTGCTGCCTGCTTCTTTTAACATATCTTAAAAAGTATCTTTTAGAGTTTTTGTTTGTTTGTTTTTTGGGTATTTTTTGTGGCTATAGGGCCCATGGGCTTGCCAGAGAGACAGAAAGTGAGAAATCACCCCCCAGGAGGGATGGCCATGCCGCAATCCCTTCTCCTCCATTCTCCTCTCGGGATCTTGGGCACGCACGCACGCACGCACACGCACCGGCGTGAGTTTAAGCCACCGGGTTCTGGGACTCGAACCGCGGTTGGCTACATGGGAGTCCAGCGACATAGCCATTATGCTAACTGCTGGTCCCTCTTAAAGTTTTTAAGAGAGATTTTTGCTATCGGGCACGGTACTCACTGGAGAGGCAGGGAGAGGCAGGGAGAGACAGAGAAACAGAAAGTGAGAAATCAACTGCCGGGGGATGGCCAGGCTGCACTCCCTTCTCCTCTGGATTTTGGGCACCCACGTACAAGTGTTTGGTCTGAGTTTAAGCCACCAGGTCTGGGACTTAAACCACGACTACATGGGAGTCCTGAGACGTAAAAGTTACGCCATCTGCTTGTCCCTCTTAAAAACTGTTTAAAAATAAAAAATGTATCACAAATCTATTATCAGATTGCAACGGAAATGAGGGATGAGACCAAAGAAAACACCTGTTTGGTACATAAAGCAAGTCAGTGGAGTGTCAGCCTGAAAGGGCGGGGAAAGCAGAGGAAACCCACCTGCAGTTGGTGCAGGTGTAGAAGACCGTCTGGCCTTCGTCCGCCGAGCGCATCTGTCTGGTGTGGTAGGCCATCCCCTCGTGACCGCAGCGGGAGCAGCGCCGGTCGAGCTGGGAAGACACGGGCCGGTTAGGGAGGCCGACTCACATCTCCTCCGTTCTTCCAGGATTCAGGCCATTAACCCTTCTGGGGCAAAGCCTCGATGCTCCGAAGACCCCTCTTCCCTCCTGGAGTCGGGTACAAACTGCCATCTCTCTCCCGCCTGCACGTTAACTCACCACGGGGCCCTGGAACTCGGGCCCCTCCTCCGCCGACAGAGGCCTGGCTGTGCCCAGTTTGTGGAACACGACCGACGTCCTCACCACCTTCTCTTCGAAGTCTGCAAGGCGGTAAGAGCTCGCGGAGACAGGCCAGGGGGCGACGCCCGCAACGCCCTCCCGGCCCCCGAGGCCTTCCCCCCGCCTAGCGGGCACGAGGCAGGTCCCCGGCTCCAGCGGCCGCTCCCCGGTCGAGCCCATCTTGGGGTACCCACGCCCCACGCCTTCCATGCGGGGCCCTCTGCCAAGACCACTGCGTAGGAGTCCTCACCCCGCACGTGGATAGAAAGGCCACAGCGAGTACAGCTGACCGCATCCTGGGCCCCCGGCAAGGGCAGGACCGAGCCGCAGTCGGGGCAGAAATCCAAATCCGACAGAAAGCTGGAGCAGGGGCGGGCGGCGTCCATGCCGGACGAGCTGTCCGGGGCTGGAAGCGACTGGGAAGTTTATCGAGAAGAAAGCGGCCTCCTCCGCACTGCAGAGTCGTTCCTACTGTTTCAGGACCTAGGCGAATGTAACAACAGCCCTCCTCCAAGCACCCCCTGCCTTTGCGACGGAGGAGCCGCCACGTCCGGAAGCCCCAGCCAGCGCCAACCAGTACCGGACTGGGGGCCGCTCCTGAGGCAGGCGAGAGGAAACGCCCAAGGCTAGAGCGCCGGATTGGGCGGGCATGGGGCAGCGAGTGCCTGGCGGGCTAGAGCGCCATCGCGTTGGGACGCACGCGCTACTGTGACGTCATAATTAATCGCGAACCGCATCCACGGAGCGTTTGAGAAGTTCCGCTGGGATTGAGAAATTTCGCTGGGATTGGAGGTTGCGATGCCGCCTTCATCCTGATAATAACCTCGAGTACGAAAATCTGTAACCAGTGCTGCGACTGTGGGTACTTTTCCCACCAGCGCCCAACCGCGGGATGTTTATATTGCCTCGCATGCGACAATGACCCAGTCGTAGAGGACGTGTCCCCTGAAAACCGTATTCACTACCGAATACAGATTTCCTTGCATTAGAGCACAACTTCCGCCGTTTCTGAGCCGGTATTTCCCTTTCGCGATCGCGTAGTGGCTAAAGATAAACCTAAGCCTTCTGAGACAGCTCTAGAGCTCCTTGAGTCTTATGTGCCTACTGTCCTAACGTGGACTCTCTTGCAGGCCCAGCCTGTCTCGTGTGCCTCGGGGGGTGTTCAGGTGCTCGGAAGGAGTGACTAGGCTTTTTAAGGGGCAGGAACTGGAGGGTGGAGGCAGAGGAGGACGGCCTCTGGGACGAAAGGGTACAGGGATGGGAAGGGGCTCAGGATTTTGTAGGTGAAGAAACAGAGTTTGGCTTCTGGCAGTTGAGGGAGCCAAGGGAGCATTAGTCAAGGGAGCCCTTTAGGATTTTGTAAGACTTGGGTGAGTTTAGCTTCCCATTTCGGATCACCTTCCACCTCCTATCCTGCATGTCTGTCCTCCGCTAAATCATCTTCATCCATTAGATTACCAGTTAACACTCCCTCAAACTTTTATAAGGCACTAATATCAAGCGTCTTTAGAATAGCTTACTGCAGAGGCCAGCAAATGGTGTGGTGGTTAAGGGGTCTGGACTCTCACATTGTGGACTGAGGTTCAAATCCCGGACCTGACACTTGCTTTCTCTCTCACTCTCTCTCTTACTCTATCCATCTCTGGTTAAATTTTAAAAAATAAAATAAAGTTCAATAAAATAATTATTTAAGAAATCTTACTACACTATTTTCATTCATCCATAATCTATGATCTAAATAGAAACTTTCTGTAAGGGAGCATCTTCAAGATGACTTTCCTAGTACCCTCTTAGCCTCCCACCACCACCCAACCTGACAACTGTGTTATATGAAAGTTCTGGAATCATCCCTATTTTCTCTTCTGAAGGACATAAGCTGTGAGGTTTTTTTTAGGGAGAGGATTGCCATCTGCCTTCTCTTCAATTATGGAAAGATAATACCTATTTCACTTAATTGTGAAGTCGAGTGTCCTTTTGTCTGTCTTACAAAAGGAGGTCTGTTTCTGAGTCTGCCATGGTAGGCAGTTTTTATTCTCACTTCTCTGTCTCCTTTCAAAATGGAAATTGAAATTAGCCCTGTACCCTCCTCAGCTTTCCCTTTTTGATTTGACTAACATTCAGCAAATATCCAACATGAGTCGAATATTATCCTAATACATAAAGGAACACAAGCATTAAAA